GAAGTCTTGTCAGAGTAAAGGGTTGAAGATGACTCCTAGATTTCAAACCTGGCTGACCGGAAAAATAGTTGACACCCTTAACAGAAATAATTAAAGAGGGAGGGAGGGTTTGTGAGGAACCATAGGGAGTTCTGTTTCACACACAAAGAATCTGAGATGCCTACTGGACATCCAAGTGCAGATGGCTAGCAGTCCGTTAGAGCTAGGGAACTAGCATTCAGGAGAGAGATTAGGGTTTGGTTGATTTGAGAGTCATTGGCAAAAAGCTGAAAGATGATGAGTTGAACCAATGAAAGTTAAGAGATGTTATGGACATAGAATCGGCAAAACGTGACAACTGATGAGCTAAATTTGATTAGTAAAAATCGATTAGTAAAGGAATGGAAGATTCAGAAGTGTCCACATGCAAAATTAATCTTAAGAACAAAAACAACACCAATTCAGCAATGTATACTCATGAACTGATTCAAAGTGAAGTAAACAGAATCAGAAAAAAAAACACACAAAATGACAATGTAAATAGAACAAATCAATAGAAAGAATGCAATAAAAACATAATAATGAATAAGCTTGATACCGCATGTCCTCTCTCCTTTCTTTGCAAGGGTGGGGAACTACAGGTGTGGAATACTGCAGAATGTGAAGTTTTATTTGAGGCAGTCTGGTGTAGCAGATAGAGAAAGCCTTGGAGCCTGAATACTTGGGTTCAAGTAGTACCTCTGAGGTATTTTGGCAAATCAGTTATAACTTCTCAGTGCTCTAGGCAGTGCTCTAAAACTACAAATTGCCAAGTGCCAACTCCCCATACTGATGAAATCACTAGTTCTATCATCTTCAATATATTGGTTACTTATGCTGCACTGTTTTTCCCTTTTAAATTCATTTTTATAATGGCTTGCTTACTAGCATGAGGAGGAAAGATTTGGAAATATTTGATATAAAAACAAAATAGATCCAACTTTATTTTTTAGAAGTAGTGTGTTGTTCAGTCTTTTTTTTCCCCCCAGTTGTGCCCAACTCTTCATGACTCCATTTGGGGTTTTCTTAGCAAAGATACTGGAGTGACTTGCCATTTCCTTCTCCAACTCATTTTACAGATGAAGAAACTGAGGCAAACAGAAGTGACTTGCCCAGAGTCACATAACTAGTTAAGTGTCTGAGGTCACATCTGAACCCAGAAAGATGAGTCTTCCTCACTCCAGGCCTGGCACTCTCCCTACTGTGCCACCTAACTGCTCCTAAAAGTAGTGTATGATTCTATAATTCTAGTTTAAAATTCTAATAGATTTCTAAAAATGAAATCTCAGGGGGGCATAATGCACTTTTGGTTTGCAAGTGTAAGAGTTTTTTACTTCGAGTATAAACTAAGTTATTCAGGAAAAGAAAAGAATTAGCCTATAGAAAAAAACTTAGAAAGGACATGATAACTGTCTCCAAGTATTTGAAAAATCTATCACATAAAAGGATTAGACTTGTTCTGCTTGGCCTCATAGGACAGAACTACAAACAATCAATGAAAGTTACAATTTATGAAAAAAAAAATCCTAACAATTAGTACTGCCCATTCTAATGAAAGTGAATTGGTGCTGAGGTGTAATGGTAGGTAGCGGATCTTCAGGCAAAAAGGCTGAATGACAAAGGCATTGTTGTAATGTGAATTTTTCTTAGGCATGAGTTAGACTACATCGTCTTTGAGCTACTCCCCAAGCTCTGAGACACTGTATTTTTTTCTATCTTTGTGTACAAGAAACAAAAATTTCTGGTGCCATTTGACATCTCAACTCCCAGTGTCTCCTCCATCTGTTATAAAATTCTGATTTTGGGGATCTGGATCAATAGTATAAATGAATGAGAACAACATAAAAATAGATCAAGAAACGATTATGGAAAAAATTACCTTGAAAATTGCCTGACACCCAGTCTATGTAAAAACATATAAATTACATGCAAGTAAAGGTGTTAATCCAAACTAGTTATGAGAACTTGCAGAAGGATCAGAATTCTTTTACTACAATTCTAAGACCATATCCAAAGGAATACATCCAATCTAAAAATGTTTAACTTTTGTTAGTATCTGCAAGTTATTTTTATCTGGGTATATTTTTCACATTGGCAGTATTCAATGTAAAAGGCCAAAGAGGTCACTAGTGTAAAAAAGCTTGTACTGATTAAAAATATTGGACTATTCGTTTTTAAAAAGTGGTCATCATACTGTTAAAACCATAAATGCAACTTCTTTTACTGTCATCATAAATCACTCAGGCTTACATAATGAAATATTCTAGTACTCAAAATGGAAGCAATACAGACTGAAGTCAGAGGAACTGGGCACAAATTTCGGTTTTACTACTGTGAGCACCTGCCCGCGTGACAGCCTCAGAGTCTTCATCTAAAACAAAGGGGTCATAAAAGATCATAGGGTCAGATGAAGGACCCTGCACAGAAGTCAAGTCCAATCTCCCCTTTGTTTTACAGATGAGGAAACTGATGTTCAAAAATGCTAAATTACTTACCCAAAGTCACACAGTTAAGTGGGAGAGTAGGAATCTAAATCATTTTCTGTCTAAATCCAATACTTTCCCACTGCTCCACATGGACTGTAAGTTTCTGCAAACCTAAGATTTATAATTCTCTTAAAACTTCAAAAAATCTGATCCAATAAATATTTATTAAATACTATGTGCAAGTCATTGTGAATACATAGATATACTACCATAGTAAAACAAGATAATTTTCAGATAATTCATATACATTTGAAATAGGGTTAGGACAGTACGTGAAATTCTTCAAAATCCTAAGAACCTTTGGGTTCACTCTATCACATCTGATAATGGCTTATTTTCTCCCACAGTGTTCAGAAACAAAATCACCTTAGCATATATGCTTGAATATACACACAAACTGGACTATTAGCTTCTTCCATTCTCATCTTGTCTCCTATTTCCCAATTCTTTCATCTTACAGAAAGGGAACCTGATGTTCAATGACCTGACCAATATCACATTAGTACTCTCAGAGTCAGCACCACTAACGCTCAAATGCAGGATACTCCCTCATGCCTGAAATATACTACTCTCAATGTCTGCTAAAATCCTTCAAGCCTCCACTCAGGTGCCACTGATTCCAGTTATGTCCCCTAGCTGATAAAGTGTAAATATCTTATTTCTTTTTTTAATTTATTTTTTTAGGCAACTGGGGTTAAGTGACTTGCCCAGGGTCATGCAGCTAGTAAGGGTCAAGTGTTTGGTCTGAGACTGCATTTGAACTCAGGGCCTCCTGACTTCAGGGCTGATGCTCGATCCACTGCACCACCTAGCTGCCCTGTAAATATCTTATTTCAACAGAGCAATATAAACATATTTGGATTGGAAGTCAGAGGACACCAGTTGGAATCTCAGCTCTTCCATTTACTACCCATATGACCTTGGCCCAATCACTTAACCCGCGAACTGGTTTGTTCATCTGTAAAATGAATAAGTTAGTAAACTAGATAGTTTCTAAAGCCCCTTTGGGCCCTAAAGTATAGGGTATATCACATTCCTTTGTACTAACCTGCATACATATCATATCTGCCTTGGGGAGACCAGATGGTCATTTTTCATGATGTGTCCCTGCAACTCAGTGCCCCGCACATAGCGCATACATTTCTGCCGAATTCAGTATCAATTTTCTTGGCTAGTGGCTGATCACACTCCCTTTCCCGCTAGTCCTCCTATGGCTGGATTCCAGCTGGCTTACATGTAACAAGGTAACTGGGCATTTCTATGACAGATGCTAGGTACCTTCCATATATATGGTTGTTCAAGAGTCTGGTACCATCCCTGAATCTACATGTTCTACATCCTTAACCACAGCACCCTCAAAGTCAAATGTTTTAAAATTCCCTGTAAAATTAATATTATTGGCCTCTAGGTAAAGGATAAATCTACAAGACAAAAAGGAAAAATGTTTAATTTAAGCGAAATTGGAACCACAAACTAGAGTGTACACATAGTTCATGACAAAATACTTGTCACACAACTGGTCTAAGTAGTTTGTTTTTTTGGGGGGGGGGTGTCTTGTTAAGAAAAAAAAAAAAGAACCCCCGGTAGGCCAATCTATCCATCCCCCTCTCCCCCTCAATGCTGTCTTAATTCCACTGGGGAATGGTCACCTTTGGAACCAAAATGCTTCTGTTGATACAATGAGAATATGTAAAATATTTGGCATTTAGAATAGTAGGGAAATCTAGCAGCCTATGGTGGTATTATACCTTCTGTCTGTTCACCATGCCCAAGGGGCCCCAACTGGTCAAGCACATAAGCCAAAAAACAACCTGTTATTCCTTGATCCAGACTTCACCAATACAGCATGTAACAGAAGATGAGGCCTGGGTACTAAATTCCTTGCTTTAGAGCAACAAGAAAAAGTAAATCAATTACCAATCACACTTCTCAAAACAAGAAATATCAAAATCAATACAGTGGCAGGTTTATCTGAATCCTGCCTTGAACCAAGAAAAGCTGCATATATGCCACCAAAGAAGGAAGTTTGGGAGCCTCCTGAACAAGGTATACTTGGGATTCTCAACCCTCAGGGGCATTTTTGTTCAAGTAATTCTGCATTTGTGTGATTTGGAGAATGCCATTTGAAGGATGCCTTTCTTAGATGTGCATACTAAAAAATACAAAGGAACAAACCTATCTTGTTCTAAAAATGAATATCCACAGAGCAAAATGTGGCCCACTATGGTAGTAATTACCATAATGGGACTTGTCTTGTTCCAACAAAAGGGCCACATTTATGTTCTGAAAAAAAAAATGACATGGTGCTCATTTTAGTATGAGCAACCAACAAACAGATGTGGAGGATACCAAAAAGAAGCCCACCTAGATGTGGCTAGGGGATTCAAAACAATACAAACCAATTTGTAAAACATATCAAGACAACTCATCCAACTAAGAGGCTAAAATTCTAAGAACCACCAGCAAATTTTCATATTAATGGGCAAGTGATAGCTATAAGAGTTTGAAGCGTGATGCAATTAATTTTATTGTTTACACAATGGTAGGTTGCAGACAAAGTGCAGACAATGTGGAGACAATGTGGACAATGGCAGCACATTTAAAATTTTCACAAATGGTACAAGAATTCCAGTGGTTCAACATTTTAAAATTTAACATTTTTAAAAAAGAAATGAAGCAGTAACAAAGAAATGCAAATACCCAGATTGGTTTTGTTTGTTTTTTGCAGCCCAATGCAATACACCTTTTAAAGAACAGTTTGGTTTGAATGCAATGTTTAATTATGACCAATGTTCAAAAAACAAATCACACGCTTTTTCTATCTCCCTCCCCCTTAATCTCAGATTCAGTAACAAAAGTGAAAGCCATTTTAGTACCAAAAAACAAATATATCCCTTTTTCAATGTATCAAGGAACAGATATTCCAATTCAATGAAGACCAATCATTGTATGTAGAACCATTCCAAACATACAAAATGGTACCTGACAACATTATTACAATCAAAAGCAACTGACATCATACTAGAAAAAATATAGATATGCAACATTTGTTTTAGAAAAAAAGTTGCCTTGGTGAAAATGATTCTGTAAATATTTGATACACATTATATACAAAACCCTTCTATATAAAAAAGTACATTACTGTCAATGAAGTTCCATGTTCACACTCCATCTGATACCTGTATTTGCAATATAAATAACTCAATGTTTGGTGGTGGAAGCTATTATTTTTGTAATAAATCTCAGATAAGGCAGCTCACTCCTTAAAAGGGTTTCCCCTCCAACCTCCACCATTTTACTTTAGAAACACCAACTACAGAGATGCAATTTGACATTATTAGCATGTTATAACATGCGGTTCCCTATGTTAGAAAGACATGGGGTAGTTTAGAGATGCTGGCAAGAATGAATATTTTGCTCTCAAAATATACTATTTCTCTATTCCATATTAAGCAGTTACTTAAGACACTGAGGGCTGATAAAAAGCTATTTCTTTTGGTATTGATGTCAGTAGCCCTATGTGAAAAAACTCCATCTTGGAATGGTATTAGAGTAATAGTCAGTGCATCCATCTCCTGCATAGAATTGGGAACTTTGGCTTCACAGTCCTTTGCCCCTAAACCAATGGTCTAGAATTTTAAATATTCTCCTGAAGGTCAGTCTTAGAAAAAAAAAAAGAAAGGAAGAAAGAAAACTTTTAAAACCTCATTATCACTCAGGATGCTGATCAAAATAGGAACAGATAAGGCTTTAAAAGCCATTTGCATATGCCACAGGATCAGATGCTGTGAGTCTTCTCTTTGGAGTGGCTATGGAAGGTGAAGGCTCTGAAACGGAGAGGGAACAGACAACTCAGCAATGAAGCAGACTGGCAAAGATTTGTAAGCAATGGACTGCAACATAACATCCTAACAAGCAGAGAGTTTCTGAAGACAAAATCATGGAAAAGGAAATACTCAAAAGGGGATAGAGATAACATTGAGGCAAGGTTTGTACGTGTGTAAATATATATTTTAATATGTACACACGTGTGCATTATGCTGTATATATTTACATACATATTCACAGAAATGCCCTGCAGTAGATTCCAAAAGGCCTTTTCAAAGAACAGAAATTATGAACTTTTTCATATCTATACTAGAATATAGTTTATATATGTACAAGGAACAAATATGCATCAATTTCTATGAATAGGTCTTATTAACAAAAACACTGCTAACATTAGGCTAAATAAATGGTTTTACAAGTTCTCTCAGTGATATCATCAAAACACTTCTAAAGCTAGGAACTAAAATAATAAAAATACACAAGTGGGTTAATATTAACAAGAAAACAGCTGTTCATCATGACTGGTATGGATACAATTTAAATTTCAGAGTAGGGAAAAATATCAAAATCTTATAAATCTTTTGGGATGCAATTTAATTGCTGCATCAGTTTCTAGAAAAATAGATTTATAGAATGAACAGAGCGGCTGCAGCTTCTACTGCCCCGCCCACCCAAATGTTTATCTTTTTCCTCTTTTGTTTCCAGCTGGCGGTTTCTTCAGCTGAAGGAGTTGTCCTCCTGTTCCAAATCCTGCAGAGGCAGGATTGGACACCCCGAATGTCAAGCCAGCTGATGCTGTGATGCCGGGATTGCTGAAGTTAAACCCAGTTGTACTTGAGCTGCCAAAGCCTTGTGTGTAGGGGAGAAAATATTTGTATCAGAAGTTAAATCACAACAACAACTTCATATATTTCTTGGAAAAAAGCAATTGGTATCTGAAAAAACTGAGAGAAATTTAAATAACTCAGTAATCCCAGGCTACCAAACTTCTAACGTGGCATTAGGCAAGAAAAATCTTTCTAGTACCAGAGATTAAGCATGCAGACTAGGCCGAGGGCCTTGCTTCATAGGGCCTACCACAACCGTTTCGACTCTGTGTGAAAGAAGTGAGACTTATCTTAACCCTTCAATCCTCATACACCTCCCCTTCTACAACCAAGCAGCCCACCACCACACATAATGTCTAGTTTCAAGGGGCAAACTGAAAAGATGAATAATTTTGCAAGCCTGGTTTGATATAATTACCTTTGGGTAATTAAGATGACATGACATTCTAGATGAGTTAATCATACCACCACTACCATCTTCAGAACAGCAATCCTCACAGCCCTCAAAAGGGAAAAGCATTACGACTAGCTTAGTAGGCTAGCTGGACATTTACATTTGAAACATTACCCAATCATACACTAAACTTCTTTCAAAGTAAACATGTATCAGTACAAGTTGTTTCAGGGGCATGCTATTTCTTATCAAACACTGAACATTTAAGGATCACATAACATCAATTATTAGTTACAAATCAAATTGTTTCAAAGTTACATGTAACTTGAGGCCTTGAATTAATGGCTGTCAAAATTTATATTCCAAAAGTAAATAACTAAATGTTAATAGAGAGAAATACTGTTCTTTTAGGCATAGATTTATGGACTTCTCATGGTTTCATGTGAAGTAAAACCAAATGGAACATTTAGCTGCCAAACGTCTTATCTTTGGAACAGAAATCCTTCCCCAGAATGTTCCATGGGTGAATATTATTAAATATTTGGCTGCAATTTCATGATAAATTTGTTAAGCTGAGCTAAACTGTTTCAAATTGAATAGGTCACTAGTGTCCAAAAGAACTGCTGCTTAGATAAGGAGGCCAGTAGGTGGTACGGTGGATGAAGGACCAGACCTAGGGTCAGGGAAATTGGAGTTATAATTCCTATCCTTTTGACCCTGGACAAATCACTAAACCTCTTTTAGCTTCAGTTTCCTCATCCATAAAATGGGAATAATAACAGTATCTACATCCCAAGGTTGTTATGGGGAAAAAGGAGATAATATGTGGAAAATGCTTTGCAAACCATAAAGATCTAGCTACATAAATTCTCGCTATTATCATTACAACTAAGGATGAGCATAATTAGGGAATTAAATCAAGAAGTCTGAAAAATCCGACATATATTTAGAAGAGGCAGGACAAAGATTAAGCTCTATATAGACATATTTTTGTATACCATAATATAGGATGAAACTGCAAGAGCGATCTTTTTTGGACATGTGGAATAAAAGCAATATTTATATCTTTAATAAAATTCTTTATACCTTTAAATAAAATTTTTTTACACTTTTACATTTTTCTAAAATTCAGACACAAACAAACCTGCACTAAGACTTCCTGAGGGTTTATTTGTGGTTCCAAATCCAAATGTGGAGGCCCCTGTGGTGCTGCTTCCAAAACCAGAGCTAGTTCCAAATCCTAGTGGAAGGGTGGTAGAGAAACATACAATGGCATATAAAAGATAGGTCAAAAGCTACTAACAAATAAAATCTAAAATTGTCAGAAGTTTTACAAATATGATCTTGTATAAGTATGTAAATAGAAATTAAATAAACATAAGCTTATTTCAAAACTTATTCGGCAATTTGTATTTGTGAAATTATTGAAATGAGCACACATGCAATGCTAGTAGTCATCATTTGCTCAAATCAGTGCTGCACAGACATGTAAACTTTAATTAGAGGATATCATAAGGAAACAATCAAGTTAATTTTGAATTAAACAAATTTGCACCTGTTTAGAAGCTATATAAATAATCCATTCACATTTTAGATAAGAGAACAGGTAACTGATTGAGAACAGGAACAAGAACATATTCATTAGCTTCTCTATCAAATGGGCTAGAGATTTTTAATGAACCCCATGGGTTAACTCCAGCTTATTAGGCACAAAAGTATCTCCTTTTAAATTATTTCATGTAATGAAAGAAGATTCTTTACATCATAAGCATGGCACATATCACTATTAGAGAATTCAGTATTTAGAGATACTTTTATATATTAAAAGCCCATTTTTATTTTGCTTTCAATATGCAAAAATTTCAATAGGAAGTCTGTACTACAATTCCCATTTCTTCATGAAATCCAATTAGCTTTCACTTGTTCTGTTTAAATAGACTTAATGCAAAATAGGAAAGGGGTGTTTCCATGTATACAAACTATTTTCACAAATGAAAAAAAAAAACAAATTTTATTTTTTCCCAACCATACAAATTGCAAAAGGAATTATAGATGATTCCTTTAAGACCACATGTAAGAAAAGCAGCTGTTCAACAAACCTAATCAGTTATTTAACAAATAATTTGAAATTTTTACAGTATTTAAAAAACTTTTATTGGATCACAAAACTTTCTGAAGGAGAGAAGTTTATTCAAATACTGACTCTGAATCTTAGTGTTAAACATTAAAGTTATTTGTACAACTAAAGGCCATGATACAAAATCAGAATAATTCTGAATTTTCATTAGTTACAACTTGGAATTTCATTTCCTGAGGAAAAATTGTTTTGTGAACCATAACATGAGGGAACTATGCTATACAAAAACATAGTTTAGTCACAGTATGATCAACTCTCTCAACTTGCCATGCCAAAGATACTGAAATACATTACAGTTTTTTTTTTTAAACACTGGATTTTCTTATGGCAACATTAAAATTATATTGCAATGTTTAAGTATACAGGTGCATAACCAGGCATACAACAAAGAACTGTCTTTCATGGGCAGAAGACAAGCTACAATGCAAAAATGGCCAAAGATAATCTGCAATGCTGGTAACCAAGAATTATTCTATGTGTAGTATAAATAAGTTATTAATTTAATTTATATAAGTTGTTCAATTTTTATTTCCTGTACTAAAATGTGTTTCATTGCTTAAAATGTTCCCTTTTCTGCAAATGAGAATTTTTATTATGCTTAATACTAAGAGAAATTAGCTAGGGCTCCAAAGTGGTATTAACACTATAAGACTAATTAAACTAATATGATTTTAAGTGTTACTTTATATTGACCTCCCTCACCTTTTTGTATTAAATTTTCATAGCCTCAATAATCGTCTATTTGCTCTCTATGATGCTGTCACTATAAGGCATTAATAAGTTTGGAGAATCTTTCTTGCCAGAGCTAATATTAGCTTCTGAAACATCAGAAGATCCTCTTATAAAATTTTTGCTATTACCAGTTCAGATATATAAAGGTTAAAGGAAACATTAGAAAAGTTAAAGTGTACCTCCAAGATTTGAAGAACCTAAGCCACTTGATTGCAAGCCAGTGCCAATACCTGAGCCGAATGGTGTTCCAAAACTAACTCCCAGAGATGGTTGTGGCCCTGGTATAAAAAAAAAAAAGAAAATGGGGAAAAAAAAGCTTGCCTTACTCTTTCAAGATTTAAGTTTCTTTATTTTAAGAGTGAACATTAATTGCTTTTAGACAGATTTCATTAAAAATTTAAAAACTTGAGTCTCAAAAGTTTTCCCATATCTAAACTTGTTTTCCACCTGATAAACCTAAGATGAAATTTTAAAAATCAAAACTAGAAAATTAAGACAGTATTACCACATGGAAAGGAATCTAACAAGTTATACAGCAAAATAACAAAAATATTTAATGTATTATCAACTCAAATCTTATTGGTTTAGTTCTTAAATTATCTTAACTCTCTCACTCACCTTTTGGCAAAACTAGAGAGTGAATCAAGTGTAGGATTTCATGATTTTTATTCTCTACTTAAAGAAACTTTCATTTCTGTTAGTGTCAGATCTTTCTTAGACTGATGCTAACACTGTAAAACCATCATGTTACTTACTGAGAGAGAAAACTGAAAACTTGGTATGGTTTTGCATTTGAAAGATCAAATTTTATATGCACAATAAATGGATAAAAAACAAGACAATGTTTTATTTTATTAAATTTATTGTTCATTTTAAAGCAAATCAATTACACAGTAACATGACAATTCAGATTTGTTCACAAAAAGTGATAACCGAGTTCTGTTGTTAAGTTCTGCTACATTACACCATTCCATAAAGTTAAATTATTCAAATCACCTGATTAATAAATATGATAGATTAATAAACATTTACAAAGGCACAGCTGTGTACCTTGACCAATTCAATAAATACATTCAAGATTTCAATTCAAAAACTTTCCCCCATAATTTTGGAAATATCTCAGATCAAAATTCATTAGAAACTCCTTTCCTATCTGTTAGTTTATAGTTTAGGCTGAGTGTGGTGAGGACAGAAACAAACTAGCTGCCTCTCCTCTGAACAGTGTTAGTGACCCAGAATACAAAAGTCTAAAAATCTCTCATTTTGATTAATGATTTATGAAAATGATGTGACAGGTTTTCTGCACAGTACAATCTTCATTGTCTTGTCATTTTCAAACACAGTGATCAGTGCATCTGAAAGTGTTGGGGTAGGGAGGGGATCATCAAAGCAAAACACACATTAAAAAATTTAAATTTTAAAAGAAATCAAAGTCTTCAAGTTGTCCAATGCAGAATAAGGTTTGTGTATTCAAAAAGTAGTGTTAAATTATAAAGTACTTATGGGTAACCATAGCTGAGAAACTTTGTTCTGTCTAAATAATGAGATAAACTGGATTTTCAGATTGTAAACATAAAACAAAAAGTAACACAATTGATAGCAGCCAGGGCCCTTATACTATTATTTTTTTTAAAAATAAGTTAAAAAATTAATTTTTACATCATTTTGAGATTCAAATATCTGCTTAGTAGCTCTTTTAAAAAACTGTTATCACAGTACAAATAAACTAAAGACAATTTCATAATTTGAACAAAATATGCAGAAAACATATGTCCAGTTTCTTCAAGTTTAAGGGAAGGCCTCAAGTTACACATTGATAGGAGGCACTGCTGGTGGAAGACCAAGAATAATAAAAAAAACACCACATCCCTCAGCCCTCCAAATCAAGATATTTATCAAATATAACATGCTGTTTTTGTTGTTTTGTGTGTATATTTTAAGACCAACAGAACATTGTTATTCTAAACACCAACAGTCAAGCTATAGGAAAAAAAATCAGAATCTATCCCTAAAGCTGACAAGATTTTCCATTGTACAACAGATACGATACTTCAGCTCATTTTGTACCTTAACATAAAATTCTGAAGGCAACATCATTTATAATCTAGTAGGCAAATGTACATCATTTTCAAACAGTGAAAACTTTGTCCTGTGCCAAAGTACTAGCAAATAATGCATTCTTTGGCTACTATCATAAATTGGTTTCATTTTCAGAATGTGAGAGAACTCCTTCAGACAAGAGTTATTCTAACAAGTCTAAAAGTATACTTCAAAATCTTAATAGTTATGCCCTGAAGGACTGTTTAATAAATAAACTCTCCACTAAGAAACCATTAAGTAGTAACTTATCATGATTGCCCAAAGTGAACCTTTACTTACAGTAACATTTTACCAAAGTTACCACATAACATTCACACACAATACAATCAAGCTTAGCATTATAATTCCTATTTTCTATCAATAAATTCTACCTTCTACAGCTGGTTTACAGGAAAAGGCAAGTGCTTAAAACCTCTTTAAGATGTTCAAGGATCAGTTAAAACACCTAAAGATGCTATTTTACCAAATGCTATTTTTAAAAAAAATCAAATACAACACCCCCCCCTCCTCAAGTTGTAAATTTTCATACTTACTGATTTAATGGGGAATGTTCCTTTGGTTAATAAATAATAATAAAATCACAAACCCCTAAAATTTTGGATGGAAGACTTAGGATTTCCTGGTTAACACTAAGCCTAAGATTTCCAAGTCTATATCCAAAGCTAGAAAATATGAATCCCTAACAAAATGGTCTCAGCTCTCCTTAAGAACAGCAGCCAAGTATGAGAAAGAGTCTCATATTATGTAAACATCAAATATTTTAAAAATCAGCAAATGATAATAACACAACACTCAATAAGTTAGGGTTTTCTTCATTTCTATTCAGTTAACAACAATTATACTGCAAACATTACATTTAAATTACTATACATCAATTTATGAAAAAGCTAAAGGAGGTCTTGTGGAGCAAACAGAGTCCTTTCCCATTGTCCTTTAACTTATCCAAGAACTCTTCTCATGTTCGTCTCTTATGTTATATGCTAACTTACAAGCAGCTTTCTGGCATCTCCAGTACTCCTCAACCTCCAGAAAAACAGCAGCCACAGAATACACTTGCCTAAGAACTACAAATATATCTACACAAAGAAAATCAAAACCAAGACTAAGAAAGGACCTCAATAAATCATTTGATTCCTCTGTCTCTGGGAAAGATATATGGACCACCTGCAAGAGATAGTTGTCTAAAAAGTCAGCTGTGCCCATATATTTACATTATCAATGGGCAAGGAGTGGGTCTATTCTTAAAAACAAAAAAGCACCCAACAACTTAGAAACTGGCTCAAATCTTGCACAGGTCAGTAGCGGTATCTGAAAATACTAAAAAATACCCTAGCTGCTCATAGATGATTTTTAAAACTTTTCACTGGCATGTATTAGAGAAAAGATTTCCCCTTTATTTAAAACACTTTAAAACAGATCCACAGAGTCAGGGAAAAAAAGAAAAAGTTACCTGTGTAGTATGTACAACAAATCAATAATGAACTCAGTTTCCAGCTGAGCAGTCAAGGCTCATCAGAATACTGCTTTGCATGTGCACTCTGAAGGATAAGTAAACCTCATTCCCTTAAATGTTAATACTGACAATAACTACACCAGTATCACTCAAGCTTCCATTGGGCAGAGCCCCAATAGAATGGCTGTGTCATGCGCACAGAGTACCTCTACAGGAGGGAAAGAATAAAGGGGACACAACAAGGTTCTAACACAATACAGTCTGGTTATCAAAACTGCTCAGCTGCTCAGGTCTGACATCCATACAACTCTAAGTTAAAACTCAATTCTATAAAAGAGAGTCCCATTACCATCTATCTTTAATACTGATAAGGCTGACAAGGCTGGGGGTATGCCTGTCTCAAATTAGAAAGCCACAGACTTCATAAAAGTTCTTCATAAAGAAAACTTATAGAATGAGAGTTTTTGCAGTGATGAAAAGAAGGTACAGTTGATTTCCCCCAAAACCTAAGAAGAGCATCTTAAAATGAAAGCATATAGGCAAACAGGGAAATTGTTTCTCAAGGTAATTAATAGGCACTCTAATTTAAGCCTCTAATATATATGAGAGGTATCAAAACTCTAGAGGAAAAACCCAAGAACTTTCAAGGTGAGATTATGTCTCATTAGGAAGTTTTAACTCTCCCTCTGACAGAGCAGCTTATTGCAATTTATCTTGTTTGTCTACACCAGAGGAATTAATTTTTGGCATGACACTTTAATAATTCAGACTTTCCCCAAGTTTTTCTACCTGGGATGGAAACTGAAAAAAACTTCTATAAGTAGGAGAGAAATTAGTACTATTCTAATTCTGTAGTTCAGTTAACTCAGTGCTCAGAGCTAATGATTCCCTAGTTATGGGTTTACCTTCTGTAGGGACCAATTAGCATTCTTCTGTTTCATGATCAGAGATCACACATCAGTAACAGTCATCTATTGTGTATATGTACATAATACTACTGCTCACAAAAGGACCAGGAATTAGAAAGTGTCTATGGGTCAGTGCAAATCCATCATCACTGATGGAAAAAATTCAAGGTGCTCTAATGATGGTGGGTCAGCAGTATCATTTTCATTTATGAAGTTGTGAGAATAATAATCCTACCAAGCAGCAAACACCAAAGAACATACAAGATTGCAAGCTCATTGAAGGCAGGGATCACATTATTCATCTTTATACCCCTCACAGTGCCTTACACAGGGCAGGTGTTAAATATTTAATCCATTTTCTTCTTAGCATGGAGGCTAAATATAAATTGAAAGGTCATAGAACAGTCAAGATTTTATTTAAATATTTTTTTAACTTACTGTTAGACCTAGCCTCTTGATATATATGCCAGAACAAACTAAGGTGCTGTGGAAGAAATAACTCAGTTTTTTACATTTTGTAAAAATCTATTTTTATGAAAAAGGAGAAATACCATCTTCAACTAAATAAAGTACATGTCTTCTGTATACCAAAATCTAGTGCAGTCAATCACAGATAAAACAGGTCTGTGAAAGTGGGCAAGTAAGACCAGAAATAAAGGTTGGAGTAAACGTAACAAAACTTATTTTGACCCTAAAATGCAGATTTGCCTAGAAACAGGTTTAAAAATAATCTTATTATATCCTTCTCAACCATTATTTTATAATCAGCTTAGTTTTCCTCTATTCAAGTATCTCTTTATGTTCAATCTAACCTAAGCAATTTCAACACACACGCATCTTTCCTTTCTCTCATCATCATTTCTGTTCATTTTCAAGGCACTAGACCAAAAGCTGGACTAACATATTTCTTCTTCAGAAATTGGTTTGGTGAGTCAGTACATATGCCTTCCAGTCAACACAAACACCCACACAACACCTGCATAACCTTTCACATACCTTCAGTAAAAGCAAACTTCATTTGGATGTACACGAGGGTTGCCAAATACAGTACTGCATGATGAAAATGAATCAACTGCTTTACATAAGAAAATGTGTAGCTGGATTGCTTATTTCTGACTTTGAAGTTATGTACTACATAATTACAATTTCAGAATTTAATAGTATATTCTTTAGGGAAATTTAATAGCAAAAGATTAAGTCCCATAAGGTACTGAGTGATTCAGTAAATACCATTAAAAATACTGACAACATTAAATATCTAACTGATTTATTATTATTGCTAAGTCTACCCTGCATTTTCTAACGTATATATTTTTATAATTTTGTCACAATGATCAGATTTCTCTAGATAACAGCTACTCATAGAAACTAAGTACTAACACAAAGACCTTATATAAAAATGTACACAAACTGACTGTAGTTGTAACACTAATAAGCTATAACTTGAATGCATTCAGACCTGTAGCAGGCTGTTGCTGCTGTGTGAGTGTTGCAGCCATCGCAACGGCTGCTGCATTTGGTATGTTGCTGAAAGGGGTGGGGCCAGTGGTAACTCTTGGAGCACTCTGCCACTTCTTGGCTTCTGCTCGTCTTGCCTCAAAAACATCCATGGCATCTCCCAGGAACATTTTTCTATAGCCAAGATATTGTTCTTTGAGCATCTAAAAGGATAAATAACAACAACAAAAAGTTTCCCAAAAAGCTTCATATTGTATTTGATAGTAATATAAATTGTGAAATACATTACCAACAAAGTATCCTAAAGTTCACAGCCACTACCCACTAACCATTTTCTTTCAGAACTGAAGGTAATGTCAGTACAGATGAATTTTTGCAAAGGGAAATTATATTTAAGGGTGTGCTCTCTCCTGAATTTCTTTTTAAAAAATTCTCTATTCATTTTATACATTACTTATCTATGTTTGCCAAAATTAGCATGGGCACAGTATAGTCCACATTAATATAAACAAAATCTAAGAGAACTTAGCTAAGCTTTAGGATAAATAGGTCAAAGCTTTAAATCCTACTTCACACACTCTTCTCTTCCTGCCAACTTCCCTCCCAACTGGTCAACTTCTCTGGTAGAGGAATGGGTAGACCCTGATTTCCTGCTTGGAGCAGAATGAAAAGTTTTCATCAAAAAGATGAAAAATAATTTTGAATGTGTATGCCTACAGAATAGAAGTACTTAGAAGCAAAATGTTGAATTTCCATCAAATTATGCTTGTATCTGCCCATCTGTTGCTAGAAATAATTGTGTAAATGATGACTTCTGCTTTAAGGACATCAATAAATAAAACATATAATTAAGTAGAATTTTATCATCTTTAAAAAAACAGAAGTAAAAATGTAAGAACAATTCATGTATTTTCTACACAATCTTTCTTACTGACAGAATAAAAGAGCATTAGGTCTTTACTAGTTTCAACTTTCTGCTGCCTGTGAAACTAGCTGAAGTGAAACCTTTCTAAGGTGGCAAATGGAAGGAGTGCAAGGGCCCAGAAGCAAGGTATGAAATGATCTAGAAACTGACCTAATGCATAAAGTTTGATATTCACCTCTTTTATAAACTTCCATTTTTGGTGCATTAGAAATCACTATAAAGTAATACACTTTGGAACTTCATTTTTTATGTAAAGGAGTCAATAAAACTGGAAATGTCTCTGATTAACAATTAAAGGATATGGGGAACACAGTGAGAGGTGATCTATATTCATGGAAAGTATATACACTGGTGAAATCATTAGCCCTCTGAGAATTGCTTAAAAGTGTTAACTTTGTTACTATTAGTGGCTCCTAGGTGGATATGGTAACTTAGCTTGTTTCAATAAATTAGATAACTTGTGTGCAACATTAAACAAGGAACAATGAGAAAAGGGTGCCTGACACGCAGTAAGAGCTTAATAAATGCTGACTGAAAGTCAAATCTTGTTCCAAATATTATAAATTATCTATTCAAATTACATCTTTTGAAATGGAGATATTCTGTATGATACTCAAGGGAAATAAGGTAATAAAACTCGAGGATACTAAATTTCTGTTTGAACTAATTACCAAACATCATATCAGAATCTCCCTCTGCCATATTTTTAAAAATCTAAAGAACTTTCACATGAAAATTTCAGTTGGTTATCATTTTACGGTAACTACTGAAAAACAGTCAAATTTTCTCATATAGTTTTTCCCACTACAAATATTTACACAGACAACAAATCAACCAAAAGCACCAGGCCAAAACCCTATTTCCCTCCCCATTTCTATTCTAAGACAGGCCTTTTATCTTCCAATTCACTGTGAAACCTAAAGGAGGAACATGAAATAGTGCTCTTGCACTATTCAGACTTTTGGTTCCACCCCAAACAGTAAGTGGAAAAGCATCAGTGAGTGGCCATTGATATGTTGATGTGTGCTCCGCACCATTGGTGCTGATATCTACATCTCTTATGAAACACAGTATTAGCAATGTGAAAAATGCTAGAGTCAGGTGTCCTGGGTTCAAATACCAGTTCCTACTACTTCTGTGTGACCATAGGCAAGTTAAATAGGAGTAATATTACATTTAATCCTATAGAAAATAAGGGAACCACTGAAGGTTTTAAAGCAGTAAAGTGATATGGACAGGGCAAAATGTTTGGATTCAGACCTGAGTTCAAACCCATCTACATGTATGGCTATATGGCTTTGAACAAGTCATAGAATCTCAGTAGGAGGGGCCTCAGAGAATCTTCTCTACAACAGACAAAGCTATGGTTTCACAGCTTTGCTCTGGTTGACCCCATGCCTGAATTCTCTGCTTTCTCACCTCTGCTTCTTACCTATCCCTAGTTTCTTCCATGACTCAGCCCAAATCCATCCTCTGCAGGAAGCCTTTCCTGATCTACACACCTACTAATGCTTTTCAGATCACCTTCATCTAATGTGTATAATTTTGTATGTACCTTGTTGTTTACAGGTTGTCTCCCCAATTAGAATGTAAATTCCTTGAAAAAGGAACTGGTCTTTGTCCTTTTTATCCCTGGCACTCAGCACATAACAATGTTTAATAAATGCCTGATGACTGACTGAAGAGAGTTATCATGGCCCCCGTAAATATTCTTTTCTCCATGTTATATATCCTCAATTCCTCCAACTAATCCTGATTGAGGCCCCTGGCTTTCCCCCATCCCTGGAATGCTCTCCCTCTTCCACTCCAACCACTGACACCCCTGGCTTCTTTTTTAAGTCCCAACTAAAATCCTATCTTTTAGAGAAAGCCTTTCCTAATCCTTCTTAATTCTAGTGCCTTTCTTTTATTAATTACTTCCTATTTATCCTGTACATAACTTGTTTTGTTTGCATGTTTTCTCCCTCATTGGATTGTAAGCTCCTTGGGCTCAGGGACTGTCTCTTTCTGTATTTCCAGCACTTAGCACAGTGCCTGGCACATAGTAGGTGGTTAACAAATGTTAGAAAGGTTAAAATCCAGAATAATAACTCATATTTAAGTAGTACTTTAAGGTTTATAAAACACTTTTCTCACTACAAAATTGTGAAGTGTGTAGTCTCAGAGATTTTAAATTACTTGTCCAGGATCATACAGATAATGTCCGAGAAAAAATGTGGATCCAGGTCTTCTGGGTCTAAGTCCAACACTCTTTTGCTACCCTGCTGAGGCTTTAAGATAAATGTTAAAGACAATGAAAGAGGGCTTTAAAAAAAATCAATGCCGTGATGGAAAATGCTATCCACAACCAAAGAAAGAACTATGGAGTTTGAATGTAGATCAAAGCATACTATTCGCTATTTTTTTTCTTCTGTTGTGTTTTGTTTCCTCTTTGTGGTGGTTCCTCCTATTAGTTCTACTTCTTACTTACATCACTAATGTGAAAATGTTTAATAAGAATGTGTATGTATAGACTATATTAGATTGCGCACTGTCTTGGGGAGGGAGGTGGGGGGGAGGGGGAGAAAAATTTAAAACTCAAAAGCTTATGGAAGTGATTGTTGATAAATCAAAATAAATAAATAAATGAACAAAAAAAATTAGGGAAAAAAATATCAATGCCAAAGACAAGAGAAAGTTCAGAAAGGAAGAGGACCCTGACTTGTAAAATAATGGAAAACAGAAAGAACTACTCAACTTCTATTTTGCTTCTGTTTTCTCTACCAAGGGGAATGATCTGCAGATTAGGAAAAACAAAACAAAAATGGGAAATAAAACCCAAGGGAAGTAAGGAGATGACACCTAGTTTTCCACAATAAATTCAAGTTGACTTTCTCTTTTAATTATGTATTAACATGAACTTGCTGGGTCACATGAGCAACAAGATGGCAAACTGGACATTTTCTCTGATCCCCATGACCTCTCAGACCTCTATAAAACAGAAATTATGCAATATGGTCAAGAGTCCCATGAAAAAGAAGGGTAAAAAAAAAATCCCAAAACCCAGGAACCAATTCTCACTGACCTGAGTTTACTCAGCATTCCTCCTCCCCTACATCTGACATGACTGGCAGAGAGGCTACACTAATAGACCCAATGACACCACAAAGGCTTACATCAAAACCTACTCCTACACCCTGGTCCCTCCTCCTCCTTTCCAGTGCTAAAGAGAGCCTGACTCCAGGCTGCAGAAGTTTCTTCAGACCTCAACAGCCATCTTGGCCATAACCTTTCAGGAGCAAAAGCCAGCCAGAGGCTGCAACCCAGGAGCACCAGTGCTGCAAAGCTCTGAATTGCTGGTGTGGAAGTGAGAGGTGAAGCAGACTCTGAATTGCTGGTGCTTGGCCAGAACAGAGAGAATGGGACAGGTCACAACAAGTGTGTGCGTGCATGTGTGTATGCATGTATGCAGCATTTCACCAAACCTTAGGAAGAGCCCAGCATTCAGATGGGGCCATTTCTGACTACCCAAAAGTCAACTGGGGCCAAGACCTAGGCTGGTGAACCACGAATTGCCCAGTGTGGGAAAATGCCTTGTGATCCAGTCCCCGTGTGTGTGTGTGTGTGTGTGTGTGTGTGTGTGTGTGTGTGTGTGTG